GAGTTGGAACTAGGTAATCTTTAAGGTCCCTTCCAAAGCAAACCATTCTGTGATGATTCTGTCAAAGAGCATAGTCGCTCTTGCCAAGCTGCAGTGTAGATTTTTTCTTGAATTCTCAAAATCAAGCATCCTAGAAGGATCCAGCAGCTGAGTTACTTTTATGGCTTTTTGTAGTTTCTCTCTTTGCTTGTTGGAGGAAATGCAAGCATGGCTGGATTTCTTTTGTTATTAACACATCATCCCATGTCAGTATCCCGTGTTACTATCCTCTTTATGAAATCTATTATCTGTTTTGTGGATGTCTCATTTGTCATATCACTATTTTGAAGCTTGCCAGTGCAGGGAAGAAAGCAATCACTAACGGATACGTAACACAGGAGCTAAATATGATCATACTAAAATACATGGGGTATTATTATTTTACATGAAATCTTGCTTTATATGTTGACATGCGTGGAACATAAAAATACTGAAGAATTTTACAATCATCATTAATTTACCAGTGTACGTCTTTCAGTTGATAACATACATTATATTTAATATTTTGAGACTAAATTTACTGGTGCATTAAATAGGTCACAACTTTAATCATAAGTCATAGCAAAATACACATTTGTTGCTTTAAAGTAGTTCAGTGGAATTAGTGAAAGCAGCCTAGATCCTCTCATAAGCTATCTGAAGCTAAGCCAAAAATAGTGGATGTTAATTCCATTTCTATCCTAATCCTTTCTCTGCTTGTCTAACAATTTTCTATATATTCACAGCAGAGTATCTGCCTCAAAGTTACTGCTTTCTTGTTTGTCTATTCAGGTGTGGATTTCCTTTGAACTTCAAAATTAGAATCTTTCAGACAAACTCAGAACCTACAATAGGTATTTTTGAATTAAATTCCTTTTCTATAAATTATATATTTACTTTTTAAGAAGCAAAGCTAAGCAAAGCAATCTTCTCTACCCAGCATGCACAGAGAAAGCTGGTTTGGGTCTCTAAGTACCCACTAAATCAGCTGTGTCTCTATCCGTGTTTCACATGCTAATCCATTTCTAATTAGCTGATTCACAGAATACAGTGGTGGTGTATGACTGTGACATTAGAGAGGTCCCGTGTTTTGGGGTTGGATTTTGTTGGTGGTGGTTTTTTTAAAAAAAGTTTGTCACACAATTCTGGGTGCCTGACCCATCCCCTTGCTGGTAGATGTGTCAGTATGACCATCCAGACACTTCTGCTTCCTTCCTGCTCCTTCTCCGCAGTCACCAGCTGGATGAGCCGCACAGGCCCACGAGGGACGTGCCGCACCTCGGTGTGTGGGCCCCTCCTGTGGGGGGGTGGACCTACACAGAAGAATTTCTGTGCACCCTGAGCAGCCAGTGCCAGCACTGCTCGTGTGAAACGTGGTTTGGGAAGTAGGGGATGAGATTACATTCCATTTCCAAAGACTTGGGAAGAAGGGCGCTGCACATACAGCTTTGCTGTGAGTTTGTGCCATGTGTGAGTTTGTGTTTCTCCAGAGGGGCACAGCCTTCTTTTCCCCCGCTGTGCTGACGTTAGTGATTGGTGCAGTTGGATTGATGAATTGATGTCATGAGAGCTAAGCCACTTGAAAAAAAAAAAAAAGTCATGGGGATCAGCAAGCTGGTGTTGTTTTGTGGCACACCTGCAGGCTCACTTGTGCTGCTGTGAAATGCTGAGGCAACATTTGGCTGCAGCAGAGGGGAGGAAAGGCCAGGGCTGCCACAGGTCTGTTGTGCAGCTGTCACTCTCCGTGCAGAGCTCCACGTGCACAAGTCCGGCTCAGGGCCCTGCCTCTGCCAGGTGGACACAATGTGCTGGTTGTGTAAGAGCTCCAGAGTGGGCCAAGGGAGCAGGGAATGGAGGGGGAAAGCAGTAGGTGGCCTATAAAAGGAGAAATGTTCAGGCTGTCTGGGAAAAGTAACTCCAGATTTCAACATGACAGGAAAGTGCATTATTCTCAAGAAGCTGTTTCATCTTGCTTCAATGGGGCTTTGTTTCCTTTTTTCCCCATCCTTAACTGTGTCATAAAGTCTCAGGTGAGAAGGTGAGATGTGGTTTTAGTTAATTGGTAATCATTCCTATTGTTCTCAAGGCCCAAATCATAGGATAATTGTTACAGTTGTGCTAGCCTGGAACACTGGTCTATCTGAGCAAGAATGTTTAAATGCTGATGGTAGTTGCTGGTTTTAATGTTATACATGTACACGTGTAATATATGTTGCATTGGCCCACATTTGGTCTTGATTTCACCTGCAGTGGGGCAAAAATAAATTTCTTCAGCGTTCTCTTGGAGATTTCATTGCCAGCATCACACTGAATGTTGTTTTCAGTAATGTCACTATATTTGGACTGTTTCATTTGTCTGAATCTGTTTTGTGTGAGGTGATGAATCGGTTTCAAATTGCATCACTTCTTTCAGTTACAGAGGTTTCTGCAGCAATGCTACACATAGAAAGTAGATAGAGGCCTTGGTCTTTGTGTATATTTACGTATTTGAACCTTGTAAACTTTGTGAGAGAACCCTTCAAAGTTCACAGAGCTGTTTATCATCTGTAAGAGGATATGTTTGAGCCTTCCCTTCACCTAAGTCTCAATATTTGTGGCTGAGGATTCCCACTAGTCAGTGTTGTTTCATCCCGGTGTGTGTGAGAGCCTTTGCAGGTGTTATCTGTTAAAGAGATTAAGTGTAAGGTTCTCACCTTGCAGACAGCTATGCTGTGGTGTTTAATCCTTTTGACTCCTCTGAACTCTGTGTGGCAGACTATCCCCATGTGTGTAAGTGGCTGCAGGACAGGTAACGTGCTGGAGGAGGTGAAGCATGTATGAAGGACAGGAAACTGCCTTTTTTCTGCATACAGTCCAAATTTGAGCAAGCCCTTTGCTAGACCATATTGCTGCCAATCACAAGTCCCTGCTACACAGCCAGCAGTTAGAAGCTTCCCAAGGAAGTGATTGCAAATATTATTATTTTTTAATGTTGTCATGCTCAATTTAATTTCATTATGGAAAACAGGCAACACAACTGGATTTCAGGTGACGGGAAAATTGCAACCTGTTAGCCTGCCAAAGTTACCAGTAAAACTGGAATTACAAGCACTGATAGCTGCCTGGATCAGCAGTAGAGCTCTTGGTTTGTGGATGGAACAAAAGGCATGCTCTTTATCAGTTGTGCTGGTTGGTAGATGACTCTTTGAGCCTGTAAATATCACATTAGAAGGATCACATATTAGAAGCTTCTCACTGAGAGGGTCAAATGTGAGCCCTTGCAGCCACCACGTTCTTGGTGTAATGAGTGAATTTTCCTGTTACATTTGCAGAATGCTTTTGTTCACCACGGGTATGTACCTTTTTTGTTCTGCACATTCATTTTTATTTTAGTGATACAGTGCACAGTTGTGCAGGTTTCTGTAGGAGACCTGCTTGGGAGGCAGAGTGTATAGAGAACATCTGGGGGAAAGTTGTCTTAACTGAGAAACTGTGGCTTCCACTATACATCTGCACGACAAAATATCCAGTAGTACTTGACCCCGAAGAAATGCAAAAATGCTCTAGATTTTCCTGTTCAACAGAATGAGTTCTTGTAGAAAAGAAATACACCTTTGTGTGTAGTTATAGATACATGAGCATATTAAAATATCCTAGTTATGCAAATATTGCAACACTTCTGTGACACCGAGGGAATGTGCACAGTCAATCAGTGGAAGATCTGATTGAATCAGCAAAAATAAATCACTAAATCTGGTTAGATTCAAAATCTTCAATCACAACTTTTCTTAGTTGTGGCAGTGCTAACGTGTTAACAATATATAGCTACATCCACCAGTAGAAACAAGAAGTGACTGTAAAAAGGACAGAAGAACCACAACACTTTGGTTAAAGATTTTCTTGTTTTGTTTTTACCCTGCTTTCAGTGCAGTGAGTGTGCACTTTCCACAGCCAGCATGAACTTGTGGATTCCCAAAGGTGATCAGCCCAAGCAGCCCAAAGCACGTACCCTTAACAGAGTCTGTGCTGAGGTGCAGACTCTCCTTGGGCCTTTATGGTTCCTAGAGGAGTTTCATCTCCTGCCTTTCACTGGATCCCTCTTTGCTGCCACCTCCTATGGTGCCAGCGGTCAGCACAAGCTAGAAAGCCCCCTGAGCTGTCACAGTCCAGCTGGGCATTAGTGCCCTGTGCTGCCCAGCACTATTTGTTCTGGGAACACTAGCACTGACTCCACACAGGCCTGGGAGAGCTCATTTCTTTGGGTTTCATGTCACATCTCCTGTGCCACAGGTAGCCAAACCAGTTTTGTCCATACCTACAGTTCACTTGTGTGGAGTCTGGGAAAACAGTTGACTAAAATAGTGATCTTCTTCTGAAATGAAATATGAAGAAGCTTGAGTATGAGGAAAAGGGAGAACCTGTTCAACTGTTAATGGCTTTGGTAATGTTTGAAAGCTCCAGCAATGGCTGGATAAGTTCTGAAATTATAATGTCGAGAGACTAAAAACTGAACATTTCTTTGTTTTGACAATCAGTTAACATTGTTGGCTTAATGAGCACTGTGGCAAAGAGTTATCTTGTTTGAAAATACATCTGTCTTTGCTTAAGTTACATGACATCTCTGCATTCCCAAAAACAGCTCCAGTGAATTCAGGAGAGATGATAGTTGGTAATGTTGGGATTGTTTTTGTTAAAAGGTAGAAACCAAGAAAATTTTTTCCCTTTGTGTTTTGTGAAATGGAAAAAAAAACAACCAAAAAAAACCCCCCAAACAAAAAACCCTCACCAGAATTTCAATAAAACCTGAATCTAATTTAGGGAAAAACCCTTTGTGGAAACTGACTGGCCTGAGTACACGTAGACTAGAATACCGTGCTTTTTCAAAGGTATTTGTGAACTGTGAATAGCAAGAAGCCCAGGCAGAAGGCAATAGAGATTATAGTTTCTGGTACATTTATTTCCTTCTTAAATTGCTTCTTTTTCTTCTCCACCATTTTCTGCAGATCTCTCTTTTTTGCCATGTCAGCTGACAGCCACCAGCTCCACACTCACTCCTACCAGGACTCGCTAAGTTCTACTTGTCACAGACTCTTGAATGTCAACAGTCACCCCCTGTCCAAGAGCTCCTCAAATCTGACCTGTGTTGGGCAATCAAGTCTAGAGGAAAGGCTAAACTACAAACAGGAGCTGAAGAAAAGCTACAGTAGCACCATCTGCCATACCCTGGAAAACAAGAGCGATGCAAGGAGTGTGCAGAGTCCAGGATGGTCCTCCTCACAGCCTGGGAGGATGGGACTTGCATCAGAGGTCCAAATCATAAGTGACCAGTCAGCAAATGACCGTTCAGAGAGCAGAACTAAGACTACAAACCATTTCCTTATCACTGAACAGCCTTCAGCATCCTGGGAAGTGGGGGATGCTAAGATATGTGTAAAGAGCAGCACCGCTGGGAATGTTTCTTCAGCCTGTGCTGCTCACCAGCAAAGCATGTGTGAAATGCAAGAATCAAGAACTGCCCTTCAGAGAAGCCACTCAGACCTAACCTGCAGCTGCAAACAGCAGACTTATGTCACTCACATAGAAACCAGTGCCACCCACTCCAGCCTGAGCTCTTCTAGCTGCAGACATGGCCCACCAGGGGCTAGGATGTCCTTCCCAACACAGAGGTTTGGATCAGAAACAAATGAAAACACATCTCACTATCAAAACCTTGTGACTCATCTTCCAGTCCTGCCTAGAGACCAACAAGTACCCACAAACACCTTTGACAGTGGCACTATTCCGCGTAACACTACTGTTTACACAGATCCTGGAACGTTTCACGCTGCTGTTCTAGGACACCACATGCCTGGAAATGGTTTTCCAAACAGGACAATGTTCAATCAAGCCACTGGGATTATCCATGGTGGTCTGACTTATGGTAATATTCCAAACTCTGCATACTCCCCCATGGTGATGGCAGTTCATAACAACTCTGCAGGGCCCTGCAGTATAAGGCAGGATGCCTTGAAGGCAGATGCCACCATCCCTGCCTACTGCCACTCCTTGCCCATCCCATCCATACAACTCGTTCCACGGTTGGTGTGCTCCGTAAGTGAGACAGGAAGAGAGCCAGCAGCACCTGGCTATTTTCATTCCTTTTCTGCTTCAGACATTCTGACCTATCCTAAGCTGGTGTCTTCAGTAAGTGAATCGGGCCTGGATGCCAAGAGAGTCCTGAAGTGCTGTAATGTTCCTGGAGAACAACTGCAGCACGCTCAGCACTGTGCTCATCAGGAGAGAGCTCCTCCAGAAACCAAGGCTGCCTGCGTTGCCCTCAGCAGCCAGCAAGGTGCAGACATGGTAGTGACAACTAAGGATATGTGGACTATGACCTCTATGAATGATTTAACCAGAGGACTGAAACCACCTCTTGAGCGTAGAGATGCCGAGGTACAAACTCTTCCGACCATGGAATGCAAATCTGTGGCTACAAGCCCAGCAGCTGCAGCAGAAGGTCACCCACATGTGTTCCCAGAGGTGAACCTGGAGCAAGACTTGGAGGCCCCCAAAACTCCAGTACGTGAAGTGAGGTGGGACGATGAAGGAATGACATGGGAAGTGTATGGGGCATCTGTGGATCCAGAAGTTCTCGGGGTAGCCATTCAAAAACATCTGGAGTTTCAAATAGAACAATTCCAGACAGAGCCTGCTGAGGTGGCTGAGAAAAGTAACGAGGAGCCACCTCCTGAAAAACCAGCAAAAAAAAGGCCTTTCAGGACAGTGATGCATTCCCTGAGATATCCGAGCTGTTGTGCTCGTTCCAGTACTGCAGTGGAGTGAGCACAGCTGTAGGATGCAGGATAGCTGTGCTGCTTTTAAATTGTAAATAAATGCCGACTCTTAACCGATGACACAGTCCACATCAGGATAAGTGGGAGAAGTTCAGTGATCATTGAATATACATCAAAGCAAGGAAAAACCTGTGGTTGGGCCATATAACAGAGAATATAAGCTGGTATCTACATCCTGTCATCCGAATGCTCTTGACTGTATGTAATGTAGCACTGTTTTCTTCTGTGTTATTTTAAACTGTATTGTAAGGAATGAAACTTCTTTTCTAAATGACGCATCTTTTTAAAATAATGATGATTTTTTCTGTATTTTAATAATTTAGGGCTAGAAAACAAAGTTAGAAAATTATGCTTTCATCAAAGTTCTTAGCTTTCAATCCTACTCCCTTAAATCGTTTTGGGAGCTTTTGCTGTTAATTTATAAAAATGCTGACTGTAAGCCCACTTTAACTGTAGAATGACAAACTAGTGTAATGCTCTATGACAAAGAATTGTAACTTTTTCTACGTAACTGTGAAGTAACTTCAGTATTACTAGTCTGAACTCTTCCCTCTGTGAGCTCACGTACATTGGATGCCCCTCCAACTTTCCAATTAGTTTGTAGTTATGATGAATTACACTATAAATATCCAGAACTGATGTTTACCAAGCGATTGACACAAATGTACAGTATACCAAAGATGACTCATGTAATGTGAATTACTTACTGAATGCTTGTTTTAGAGACATAAAACAGAAGGTGTTCAGATTAGTCTGTCACACATCATACCCTACAACTCGTAAGCAGTTTTGTTTTGCTTATATTAAAAGTAATTTCCAGTGAGTTCTTTTTATGTGCATCTATCCTGATCAGTGGTTGTTTGGCTGTTGCATAAGCCACAGGGGACAGTTTGCATGTAACCTTTGCTCGTCTTGTGTTTCTTCTCTGGTCTGACATCAAGCGCCTGCTGAAAGTCAGACCTTGTGTCTTCCCCAAAGTACAGCTCTAAGATTATTTGTTCCGAGTGCCTTGGTCATTTGGGCAGCTTAAAGATTTATTTTCTCCTAAAAGCAACTTTGCAAACCATTTCTCAGTGAGAAACCTTTTATGATAGTGTAATGCAGCCATGGTGCAGGGCCTGCTTGAAGTGAAAGGTTTGTCAAGGAAGCTGAGAATACCATTCCCAGTGTCATACGTGGCCTTTGGTCAATGAGCTGTGATGCATTAATTTAATAATATAGAGTGGCTGAAGATCAAATTTTCACTCCTGGACAAAGTGGAATTAAGCAGAGCTGGCTGCTGTGAAATTTGCTTTGAGTTCAGGAGGCTTCATTCAGGCCCTGGGACTTTGCCTCAATGAAGTCTGAGCTCAAAATGAGTTTTATACAAACCAAGTCTGAAACCGCTGGAATATGATGCCTTACTCAGGATGCTTCTATAGCTCTGAGCATCCAAGTTTTGATAATGATCCTGGATGTTAAAATTCCTTTTCTTTAAGCTTTAATAGAAGTAAAGAAGTAATGAGTAGCTAAATAAAATCACTCTGCTGTTATTTAGAGTTTAGCTAAACAGTTTCCATATGAACTTATTTTATGGCCCAGAGTATCAAACGCTGATTTCTCCCTTTCTTCAAATATTACACTTTGAGAATTTCAAGCACTATGGTGGTCTAAAAGCTTGTGTTGTCTATTAGCTTGTCGTTGGGTGTGCAGGAGAATTAAAGATTTGAAGAGTCAAACTAAACCTTTAAAATAGCAAGTGTACCTTGTTCCCATGGCCATCATAATCCATACTTTTAAGCTATTTGACGTGTGGAATAACCTGTATTCTCTTTCCCACCCCTGCCAATCCAAGAACCCCTCTAAAATAAAGCCCCCCTGCTCTAGGAAGGTGATAAAATAGGACCAGTATCAAACTTGTCAGAAAGAGATAGTTTGCAGAAGGGATTGGAACAACATGGCCAAGTCCCTGGAATCCTTTGGCTGTTGTACTATAAAAACTGGAACAACTCTTGGATTTCATACGGCTCTGGTGGCGATTATTTGGGGTTTGTGCATTGCTGCCACAGTCCTAAATACTGATTATCATTCCTGGATGAGAAAAATAACAAGTAAGGAGAGAGGATACCAATGATTTGCAAGTCCAGAAAAACAGATGCTCACTTACTACAGTGTTTAGGATGATAATTGGAGTTGTTGTTGTTTATAAAAATAGTGTTTATGTTTGAGGATTTCCTATGCTTTTGCAAAGGTTTAAAGTACAACGTATATTAATGGAGATTTAAGGAAAAAAATACCAACTGAAACACTAATCTGAATATCAGCTGCATGGATAAAATAAGTCTTTTCTCTTGTATGATAGATGCCTCAAAAAAAAAGGCAATTTGGATTCACTTTGCATTTGGGTTCAATTTTAAAAAAAAATTAAATGCAGCCACATTGTGTATTAAGTATTCTCTGTTTAAGTGTTACTCTTATAAATGTGAGAACTCTGATTCTGTTTTTTAATGTTTTCTAACTTAGGAAAATCCAAATCCATTACATTCTATTTTCAAATATGAATAAAGTAGCAGAAAAGCTCATACTGGATTTATAACTGAGTGGGTCAATGCTGAACACAGATGCTTATCAAGCCAAGGTGAAATCAGGGCGTATTATTTTCTTGAGCCCATTTGAAAACCAGTTTGCACTGCATCATGTTGCCTCTGCTCCCCAGCCTGAATGCTGAGGAACCAGTTACATCTGAGGAAATTGGGACTGCCTTTCCCTGGAATCCTCAGTGAGGGCTGCACTGACACACTGGGTGCTCTAACCATTTTGCCTCAGTGCTCCTTGTTTCCCTTAACATATGGGAACAGCCACAGCTAATGCAGCGTTTTGGTTATGTTATGTTGTCCCTACACACTAACTAATGTCTCTAGAAGGATTTCATTGTATATGATACTTGAGGCTGAGAGATTGATAGTGGGCTGAGATGCTTAGCTCAGTGGCTCTGCACAGGTTAAAGGGAATTGATACTAATATCAGTATGCTGAAGAAAGGGCTCTGAAAAGGCGTTAGAATAATTCATTTCACTCTGAATTATTATTTACTGTTACCATTCCTAGAGGAGAGACCAAAACCTGTCAGACATTTGACACTGACTATTATCATTGCACAGTTGCTATTTGAGATAAACTTTGACTGTGGGGTTAAATACTGAAATAGAGAATATTCTCTCAATGTTTTAAATAAAAACCTCCCATAGTTAAATCGATTTTTAAAAAAACAACAAACTACGAAAAAGTTGCTTTGTCATTGTCGTATGGGTCACTTTTAAAATCACTGTCCTTATTGTTTGGTCCTCTCCTGACAATGTCTGTTTGTTCTGAGAAGCAGCTTTCTAGAGTTGTGTGTGTGACAGGTTGCTTAATGTCTGGGAATCGAGTGGAAAGGCCACCTAACCAAATTCACTCCAGGCCCAGTAACGTGGCTGCCCCCATAACAAACTCCCCAGCGATTCCTGCTGCCCCGGGGCGATGAGGAGGCAGCAGCTGGATGGGGATGCGCTGCTGAGGGGCTCTCTGAAGGCTGGCAGCCTGTGACAGGGGTGCTGTGGGCTCTCTCTCACTCCCAGTTCACTCTGTGGTGTCTGCAGACCACTTAGATTTGGGCTCCTGCTGCTGGAAGAGACCTGGATCCTGAGCTGGTTCTGTTAAGGATGGCCGCAGAGCCCTCGCTTTAGACACAAGTTTTGCTGTGGGAACCCCTGCTCTAGAGAAAGCTTATCTTCCTTCCTGGTGTAGCTTAAGGAAGTGTGTGTCCTAGGACTGAGCCAAAAGGCCCCAGGGAGCAATGCTGCTCCATGCCCATGGTCCTCTGAGACAGGGCAAGTGGGAGGAGGCAAAAGCAGTCAGCTGTTATGTACCCAAATGTAGGCAAGATGTTCTAGGGAAAAAGAGCATCCCCTCTGTACGGACAGGGGAATGTATTTCTTCCTGATCACTTCTCTGCTTATAACCAGTAAGAAATAATGACAGGCTGGACTAATTGCATTATTGGATAGACATTTAGTCTTTTAAATCCAAAACAGTAAGAACCTGTCTTGGAGATGTGGTGAGGCAAGAGACCTTCTGGAGGGATGTTACCCCTGTTAAAGATGGAATAAGAAAAACAGTGTAACTTTGTTCAGAAAAAGTAACATGTGGTGAGGTTGGGCTAGAGCAAAAGCTCAGAGTGGAGACAAGACTGAGGAACCCCAGCTCCACACAGGGAGCAGGGCCAGGTGCCCTCCAAACACTCCTGCTGCCCCCTCTTTCAGGAGCTTTTCCAACTGTGAAATTGCAATGTTAATACTTCATTGCCATCTGTTCCTTTCAGGCATGTTGAGGTGATTAATTTGTCTTCCTAAGCCCCTTGAAAATGAAAGCAGTCTATTAGTGCTAAGTAATACTGTTAATTGGCAAGAGAGAAAGAGGCAGCATGTGGGTTTATGAGGTGGAAATAAATAATTCTAATCAACTTCCACAGTATCAGTTAAATAACTTAGTGGAACTTGCTGCGTCAGCCACTCATCTTTCCCTTCCAGAGGACTTTAGGGCTCTAAGATTGATTTCTGAGTTTTATTTCTTTTTTCTCCATTCAGAACTATGGATCTGAAATTAAGAACACAATGTGCCTATTGAGCTTCTTTCCAAAGCCTTGTTATTTACTCAGGTCACAAGATCCAGCTGACCCTCTGCAAAAAAAAGAGGAATCTGATGCCTGTGAGCCTGTGCACAGAGCCTTGGGCTGCTTGAGTCTGCAAGTACATCGTGTCCACTAATACTTCCTGCCTGCTGAGGGAGGGAGCTGTGGTGCTTTCTGCTGGTGCTACAGTCTGGGTCATCCCACTCCCCTGCCCATCTACAGGGGGGAGCTCAGTATAAAAACTGAGCTCCCAACCTCTGCCATCTGGAATGAGCCTGTCATTTTCTGTGGGGCAGCACCCCTGCCCCAGGCAAAACCAGTGCTGTGGTTGTTTTTCCTCCTGGAGCTCCTTCATCAGACTAAGCACACAATCACTTGTGGCTTTTACTACCAGTCTGCATCAGTGAAGGGAATGGTGCATATCCTTTGCCATGGTCATTTGGATGTCCAGCTTCCATATTTCTTGAGCTGTAGAAGTGCTGAGTCTTGAGCTGACAGCCATCACATGTACCAGGGCCCATGTGTTCAGATAGCAGAGTACTAAGCTGTAGCTTGTAAGTCCTGAGAAGCATTAATCCTTTCTAAGATGTGACCTAAACAGATGTCATCTGTCTTATTATCAGGCTTTCAGTATACTACAGGCTGTGCCACTCAGATGATGGGAAGGAAGCTTAGAAAACAAAGGGGAGAAACGTAAGTAAAGAAACGGTGCTGCAAGCTTCCATCCATCCCGTTCCAGCCACTTCTTGCTCTCCTCTGGGCACAAAAGACAGCTCTAGCAACAACAGTGTCACAGGTCTGGTGAAGGGGAGATTTTGTCCCCCGTGGTGTTCAAGGTAGTGGAACATAAGGAATCTGGGTCAAGTGCCCGGGTGAACTGCTGCTGGCCAGGATTACATCTCTGAGCTCCACCTGGCGCACAGCCTGGCAGGACACACCCACTCCTCCTCCCCTGCATCTTCTGGTCCCTGCTCACCTCCTACAATTTTAATGTAAAGCAGAGATGGGGTCAGAGCTTGGGGGGTAGTGAACCTTGCCCAAACACCCTTTTGTTTGTGCTTTCCAACACACGCCTGCTGACAGGCAGGTCTTTGTAGTGCAGGAAGCACACAACTATCCAGGCCTGGGTGCCTTTACCTGACCTGTGATGTATTGCCCTGGCAGCAGCAGCTGCTGGAGCTGGAGTTTCTGGTCCTTCCCCTGACACAGGCACTAACTCTCAGTGCCTGTGGAAAAAGTCAGGCCTTTCACCTCCTCTGGTGGCTTTTTGCAATTGTTATAGGTAATTTGCTTGCCCCACTTCTGGTGCTGGTTGTAGGGCAAACTGCTTTGCCCCTGCTTGGGACTGAGCAGAAATTCCTGCATGTAGGTAAGTTAAATGCTGTTTTGTGTTCACATTGTCTGGAAAATCCTGCAAATGCCATTGTCTCAGAGAATCCAACTTTAGGAAAGCCTACCTGTTAATTTGAATTCATGGTATGATGGGTTATATTGTAATTTTTTCCTTGTTTTTGTAGTGATCTGCATTTGCTAAATTTCACACTTTTTTCAGCACCAACCTCACTCTAACAGTACAATTAGGGGTTAATTTAGTGTTGTGCTGCTGTAGCTGCTTCCTTAAAGAGGATCTCGAGAAAAGATAAGTGTTTCTGAGGAAGCAGAGACCTGTTTTGATTGTGTGATGCCTGTTGTTCAACAATCTACTTCTCCACTCAAACAAGAGTAATCCCTAGAGCTGTTACACAGCCCTCATACTTTAAGCCTGCACTGAGTCCCTTCTGCTCCAATTTTGACTGGAATATATATGTGTGTGTGTGTGTGTGTGTGTAGCTCCAATTTTGACTGGAATATATGTGTGTGTGTGTGTGTGTGTGTGTGTGTGTGTGTGTATCGGGGGGAGGTTCAAAATGTTTAGTGGCCAAAATCGTGCTGCTGTTTCTCTAAAGGCTCAATCTATATTTGTGATAGGAAAAGTTTCCTGCAGTAGGTTGAAGCTTTGTAAAAATGGTTTTAGGTTAGTTAAAATTGTTTATACACTGTTTACATGCTTCCTTCCTTCTAGTTTAAGCCCTTTGGTGCTGTGCCTGACCACTGATGCTGCGACCTCGCCTGGGGCTGCAAAAAGTGGGGACTTGCATCTTCTTTGCTTTCACCTCCCTGGAGGCCCTTCCCTCATGTTCAAAAACAGGTGTTTGTGGTGGGGCCAGCACCCCACTTGAGTCACCAGGCCTGGGCCTTCCCCATGCATTTTCTTCTCATTAATTTATTATTTACAGTTTCTGTTACTTTTGCCATAGAAAAATGGAATATCTGGGTATTATATGCCTTTATATGAAATAAAGTACTTTCCTCTATTGTGATGCTAAATTTCCCACCCTATGTCACACAGCAGCTCTTTCCTGTACTGCTTTCCCACCTTTCAAGTATCGCAGAAGCCAACTGTTTTTGCCAAAGGTGACTCATAATAATCTTTTCTAGTTTAAGCTCACCTTCTCAACCCTGAGATTTTGGCAGTGAGCTCTACATTTGCATGGCAAACTTTTCCACTGATGTTCTGATTTCTTAAATTTACAGCATTTTTAATAGCCCAAGTGTGCCAGGCAGTAATTCAAGAATTGTCTGTGTGGTGTATGTGGAACGTGACTAAGGATTTGTGTTTAATACTTATCTCCTTCCTCAATATTTCAAGTTGTAGGAGCCATCAAGTCTAGGATCGATGAATGACTGTTGGGATGTGACTTTGAGACTTTGCTTATTGAATGTATTTCTTTGTGTATTGGAGGCTGGCCAGCAAACACCACAAGGAGAATTACATCAGGTACTGAAGCAAAGCCCCACTCCTGGCCTTGACAAGTCTCATTAAAGGTATGCACTGTCTTTAAGACTATTTTTCAGTGACATGAACATCGCTGTCGTGGCAGAGGTTGA